CTTTCAGATGGAGCAGCATTTACTACACAGAGCCGTAGTTCACTGAGAAGCTACGCAAACAGCTTTCATAATCGCAGAACAATTTCTTCAATTTCATTATTGCGCGATTATATCGTCTGCGATTATGAACGAGATTTTGCGTAGCTTGTCACTGAACTATGGCTCTGTGTAGTAAATGCTGCTCCATCTGAAAGCACGTGATGGAGATTTACTACTAATCACAGAACCGGCTTTACTGACAAGATGCGCATGACTATCACATTCGATTAATCGTGCAGCCCTAACCTATCCCATTAATATAAATTGTGTGCTTCCTGTGTACTTAAATTGTGTAATGCTTATTTCCTATAATAAGTAGTTTATTGCGATTTGTACTTGTACGTGTTGAAATTTCTGTGAAGCAAAGCTGAATTTTCAGCATCATTACTCCAGTCTTCAGTGTCACATGATTCTTCAGAAATCATTCTGATATGCTGATATGCTACTGAAAAACATTTCTTAAGAATTTCCTAGAATAAGTAGCTTATTTTGATTTGTACTTGTTTTTCTTAGACAAAAACTCCTCTGCCTGCTGGTACCATCCTGAAACTGGTCACATCTGCTGATGGCAAGCCCACCACAATCATTACAACTTCACAGGCAGGAGGGGCTGGCACCAAACCCACTATTCTGGGCATCAGCACTGTCTCTCCAACTACCGCCAACAAACCAGGAACCACCATTATTAAAACCATTCCCATGTCTGCTATCCAACAAGGAGCAACAGGTTTGTTTCACATCTGACTCTTCATCTCATTTGTAATTGTGCAACATTTAAAGAGCTTTTAGTTAAATTATATCTCACTTTTGCTCTCCGAGTTAAGGCACACAACTTCACATTGTTTATATATAACTGATAGATCTGTTTTTTTACACCTCGTTGCAAGCTCACATTTTTTCCTGATATTATTTCCTGTCTCATTACTAGGTCTGACTAGCAGCCCTGGCGTCAAGTCCCCCATCCAAATTTTCACCACTAAGGTTGTTACTCCTGGCACGGGTACTCCAGGGAAAATCATAACAGCTGTGCCAAAACTGACAGGTGCAGGACAACAGGGGGTCACACAGGTGAGGCCCGTTTGAACTCCGTTCACACAAAGCATATCCATGCATCATTTTAAGCTCATCTAGTATTCTGTGTGGTCCATGAATATTTGATTTGCTCTCAGGTGGTCCTGAAGGGGGCGCCAGGGCAGCCCGGCACTATCCTGCGCACTGTGCCTATGGGTGGAGTGCGTCTGGTTTCACCAGGCACTGTGTCTGCTGGCAAACCAACTGTTACCACACTGGTTGTCAAAGGCACCACGGGTATGAATATTTAGTCTGTAAACTTTCTCTGCAGTGTGCTTTTATACAAATTACAGAGAAGTTGTTGTTCTTGATATCTGTGCCTCGTTAATAATGCCCTCTCTGAATTTAGGAGTCACAACTCTGGGTACAGTAAGTGGTACTGTATCGACTAGTGTGGCAGGGGCCAATGTGGCAAGCGCTAACGCCAGCCTGGTGACTCCAGTCACCACACTTGCCTCCATCTCCACATTGTCCAGCCAGGTGATCAGTCCCTCAGCCATCACTGTATCTGCTGCCCAGACCAACGTCGCCACCGCTACAATAGTGAGTCACACTTATTATTATTATTATTATTATTATTACTGTATAAGTTTTTAAAGAAATTAATACTATTATTCAGCTGGGATGTATTAAATTGATCAAAAGTGAGAGTAAAGACATTTATAGTGTTACAATAGCTTTTGATGATTTCAGATGAATGCTGTTCTTTTGAACTTTCTGTTTATCGAAGAATCCAGAAAAAATGTATCCGATTCCACAAAAATATTCAGCACTACTGTTTTCAACATTGAAAATAATAAGAAATGTTTCTTCATCTGCTTTGCATCACAGAAATAAATGACATTTTAAATATTCAATAGAAAATTGTAAATAATTTGAATAATGTTTTAAATTGTAATAATATTTCACTGGTTTTGTTGTATTTATCATTAAATAATTGCAGCCTTGATGAACGTAAGAGATTTCTTTCAAAAACGTTTTAAACATAAAAATAAACATTACAAAATAGGTAATAAATTATAATTACTTATACACTGTTTAAAAGTTTGGGGCTGGTGAGGCTGTTTATTTTTATTTATATAAACAAATTTAAGTAATAATAATATAATTATTTACAATAATTCATTTATCCATTCCTTTTGATGTGCATAATTATTGGGGACTGGAGCTTTCTTGAATTTCTGTGTTTTTTTTTGTTTTGTTTTTTACTTTTAGTCAGCAGCACAACCTACTCAAGTAACCCTGATCACGACTCCAAGTGGTGCTGAGGCCCAGCCCGCACAGGATCTTCCTGTCTCCATCCTGGCCTCTCCCACCTCAGAGCAGCCGTCCACCACAGGTGCTGATGCTGGTGACGGCGCTGGCGATGGTGCTACCACCGTGACACTGGTCTGCTCCAACCCTCCGTGTGAGACACATGAGACCGGAACAACCAACACTGCGACGACGGCTTCTGCCAAAATGGGCACCGAACAGATTTGTTCCAACCCTCCCTGTGAGACACACGTGACGGGCACCACCAACACGGCAACCACGGCCTCTGCGAACATGGGCAGAGCACAGCAGGTGTGCACCAACCCACCCTCAGAAACCCATGACACGGGCACCACCAACACAGCCACCACTGCCAGCTGCGACATGGGATCTAAAGAGATGGGAACCGTGAACAGCAAGACGCCGTCGTCTTCACCAGGTACGTCTTCAGCTTCTGGTTCAGAACCAGCAACACCCGTCTCAGAGAGCAGTGCTGGACCGGGCACCATGCAGCCGGAGGGTCTCTGCCCGGGCACCACCAACACAGCCACCACTGCCAGCTGCGACATGGGATCTAAAGAGATGGGAACCGTGAACAGCAAGACGCCGTCGTCTTCACCAGGTACGTCTTCAGCTTCTGGTTCAGAACCAGCAACACCCGTCTCAGAGAGCAGTGCTGGACCGGGCACCATGCAGCCGGAGGGTCTCTGCCCGGGCACCACCAACACAGCCACCACTGCCAGCTGCGACATGGGATCTAAAGAGATGGGAACCGTGAACAGCAAGACGCCGTCGTCTTCACCAGGTACGTCTTCAGCTTCTGGTTCAGAACCAGCAACACCCGTCTCAGAGAGCAGTGCTGGACCGGGCACCATGCGGCCGGAGGGTCTCCGCACGGGGACCACCAACACCTCCACTACCGCCCGCTCAAACATGGGCTCCGACCAGACGGGAACGGTGCAGAGCTCCGACAAGAGCCAGGCCGCCATCTCCTCTGCGTTGATGCCTGTTTGCTCCAACTCTTCCAGCGAAACGAACGAGGCGGGCACCACAAGCACTTCACCTGTGTCTGGTGACGTCCAGCAGGTCTGCTCAAATCCTCCCTGTGAGACACACGAGACGGGCACGACCAATACGGCTACGCAGTCGAGCTCTAGTATGGGCAGTGGGAAAACCAATGTTGTGCAGAGGGTGTGTTCCAATCCGCCCTGTGAAACCCACGAAACGGGTACCACAAACACGCCGACCCAGGCCTCATCTTCTATTGGTGCTGGACAGAATGGCACTGTTCAAATGGTGTGTTCCAATCCACCCTGTGAAACCCACGAAACTGGTACCACCAACACGCCAACTCAGGCCTCGTCTTCTATTGGTGCTGGACAGAACGGTGCTGTGCAGAGGGTGTGCTCCAATCCGCCCTGTGAAACCCACGAAACGGGTACCACCAACACGCCAACTCAGGCCTCGTCTTCAATCGGTGCTGGACAGAATGGTGCTGTGCAGAGGGTGTGTTCCAATCCGCCCTGTGAAACTCACGAGACCGGCACCACCAACACAGCCACGACAGCAACAAGCAGCTTAGAAACTGGAGAAGTAACAGGTATTTATCTGTACAAAACCTGAAGATTATTTTTTGTGTGCACACATGAACATTATAATATATTAAGTATATGTTTATCCTTAATAATACTAAATTTTGTATTCGCTTTTAAAAGGGAATGTATTTTTCAGCACAGTTGGCAGATGCATTTAATCCACTCATGTTTTCATTTGTTATAGCTTGTAGAAGAGAGACTTTGTAGTATATGTAACCAGAGGGTTATTTATTTATTTTTGTCCCAACTTGTCACTGATCTCTTGTGCCACTGATCTCGTTAGCCAGACATTAAAATCGGTTAATAAAAGGGCTGCAAATCAAGTGTAAATAAAAAACAAAAAGGGGCTACAAAGCAATAATATAATGATTCTATTAAATATAAAATTATTATTGTTGGTTGTTAGTATTTCTATTTTTATTATTAATTATATGGTGGTAATTGTATTTTTTTTATTTGCTTTCAAAAGTGAAGGTGTTATGTATTATTAGTAATTATGAAATTATTATTAGTATTAGTGTTAATAGCAATAATGATTGTAGTAATAATAAATTATTAATTAATTTTTTCATGTTTTTTTTGTCCCCCATTACCCCCCCCCATTAGCATCGCCTGGTTTGATCTGATTAGCCAGACATTTAATGCTGTTAATAGCTGGGCTAACTAACTTCCCCTATGTGCACCATCTCAGAAGTACTAAATTATCCATCTCTTCTACTGTTAATTAAAAATGTTCTGATGCATATTTTACTTAATTTGGCACTGTAGTGTGAACAACTCTACAGACTTATGATATCGCTCATCATATCAACTGCATTATACAATTATTATCAACGTCAGTTATCAACGTAAATTGTCCATCAGTGTCAGTGCATCCCTAGTAATTAAGCTTGTCTGTGTTTGTCCTTTTAGCCCAGCAGGCCGGTGATGGACAGAGTGACAGCGGCACCAGCTCAGAACCCTCATCATCTACAGAACCAGCCAATCCCACAACACAAAGCAGAGCCATCACAACAGTAACACAGGCCACGCCCACTCCAGGACCATCAGTACCGGTACAAACACGCCTCTAATCTGATCAGCTGGCTTTATGTGGATTTCCTGTAGCCAACATCCCTGTATATTCCACTTTGCTCTCAAAGTTACTAGGAAAGTCATTTTACATACACACAGTCCTTTCCTGTCTAATTGGGAGCGTCTTTTCTAGAATAAGCTGTAGTGTAAAGCACGTTTGCTGATAGTCATGCAAAGTTTTTACAGATGCATAAATTCTGTTCTTATGCATGCAAATAAATGCTCTAGGTTAAGATGTTTTGTTGTCATTCTCATGTTCTGATTGTGGTTTCTCCACAATGCAGGAGATTTCATCCATGGCTGGATCTGCGGTAGTGGCTGAGGTCCCAGGAGAGGCCGAGGCCATGGAGCAGACCAGCGCTGAGGCCGTGGCAGCGGGAGAAGAGCCCATGCAGACCGAGTGTCAGGGAGAGCTGGGTGAAGAGGGAGCCATTAGGGTTGTTGCCATAGATGAAAGTGCAGCCGGTGAGAAGGGCACCATGCTACAGGTTCATGTCGTCATGGAAGCACAGCCAGGTCAAGGAGATCAGGCTGAGGTAAGGAACTTTTTGGCAAGTCACCTTTATTTATTTAGTGCATTATACAGTATAGATTAATTATTACTGGCTCACAGTAATAAACAGTTAAATCACAGAAATAAAGATGCAAACTTTAAAAATGAAACATTATAATTCTTCTGTAAAGCAGTTTTACAGATAATAGTGTCAAGTTCAGCTGGCAGTTCAGTGTTGATTCAGTTCAGCAAATATGTGAAGTTGATCAGTTATGACGAGTTCAGTTAAGCTATAAGCAGCTCTACAGAAGGCAAGTGTCGTTATTCAGCTCGAGTCAGTTCAGTGTTGATTCAGTTCTGTTCAATAAGTGTCAATGTCGCATTATCCATCCATAATGAAGCAAATTGTAAAGCAGCATTTGTTCAGTTCTAGTTTTGTAACCAAGTGATTTAGAGATGAGTACATATGAATTTTTTGTAAATTGATAGGTATTGCTTTCATATATTAAGAGCCATATCCTACACTTTTATGCTTCTGTTAGTCACTCTTTCACCAAAACAACTGTAATTCAGTTATTTCTGTGCCACATGATTATGGCGTTATTTTACTGCCAAATGTCGAGAGCGCACTGTTGTAGCGAGAATGTACATTGCTATGATGCGCGAATCTCTCCGCTCGTGCGCGAATTTCCTTTGCTCTCGCACTAAACCGGACGCGCACTCTCAGATATGCGCTGCTCTCACCCAGAGAGTGTGCGCGCACTTAAAATGTGCCCGTGTGCGCGCTCAAACTGTGTACTTTGCACTCGCAAATCTCTCCGTGCTCTTGCGCTAGAAAGGAATTCTTTTCGCACCTGGATTAAACGTTGTCAAAAGATATCAACAAATCAGAATTCCATGACTGACCGATTAAAATGCTACGTGAAATCTAATTAGCTGGAATTCTTTTGACAATCAAAGATGGATCTTTAATTTCGTTACAATTTAATATTTAGTCATATTAATCAAAAGTATATTAGAAATGGCTGGGATTGGGGTGCTTGGATGATTTGTGCAAATAAATAACCTAGTAATCTGTCTGTCTAACTGGTTGGTCAAACCCCTCTATAACACAATAACTGCTGTGATATAATCGCTGTTTGGACATTTATTGGGAGTTTTTTTTCATCCAGAGTTTGTTTTCAGTTCTGATTTTAGTTAGATTTTTATTTTTATTTTTTCATGAAAACACACTTCATATTAGCTACACATTCAATGGCATTCTCCTCTAAGACTGAATTTACAGTTATATGACAGTTACAGCAGTTACATTGTCTGCAAATTCATTAAACCCATAGAATATAATGATGTTATGACAAATATGAGAAATTCTTTATGGTGGTAGGGTAGGCCTACAGGGCTCTACGTTTACTTTTCTTTTTAAAAAAGTTTACTTAAAAAATTTAGGAGCACGTTCAAAATTTTAGGAGCAACTTCTAATCAATAATCCAAAATTTTATCAAAAAGTAGCCTTTCCATTACGAGGTGATATTTGACTCCTCTAACTTTATTAAAATTGTCATCTTTTGTCAAATTCTTACAAAAAATATATTTTATAAGCTTTTTGAAAATTGTAATTAAAATGACAGAATAAGAACAAGTAGAATAAAAAATATAAATTACCAATTAAATGAAATCAGTATTAACAAAATTAATTGGTGGCACAGAAGAACACAAAAGTGGCTTGGTGTACTTTCAGACATTTAATGAGGCTCAGAGGTGGCATGAGTGCAATTAAATCCATAATTTCATGATGAGATTAATGTTTTAAATATAACATTTTGAATATAGATATATTAAATGATTTAAATAACTGAAAAGATGCTTTAAAAATGAAACAAACTGCCAGCAGGTGGCAGTAAGTCACTGATTTTTATCACTGAATCATTCATTCAATTGATTAATTCGAACGGCTGATTCATTCAGGAATGAAGCAAGTGACTGTCTTTATGAATGGGTAATCATGAATCACTGACTCACTAGATTCGTTCAGAAACGCACGTTCATTCATAAACGAGACACCGCTGTGTTTGAATGGAGATGCGCAGCGGCTCCGCTGTGTCTTTGTTTGAAACTATTAACTTCGAATTGTATTGTATTAAATCAGTTATCACATTTACAAACTCCCTTAAAAATCATTAAAGGCATTAAAGGGTCTTAGTTCATTTCGATCTCACATTTATAATCAACGAAGCTCTCTACACTGCACAATGAATCTCTAATTTACACCCTATCTACACTTTGCTTATGAAAGGATTCATGAGATATGTCTGTGATACATTACTCAACGCTGCAAAAACACGTAGAAACATTTGAAGCTCCCCTGAGCGCAATCACAAGTATGATGATGATCGGGTCAGTCGCACAGGTGCTCCTAAAACATTTTTCATAGTCGCACGCAGTAGTTTTC